ATATGATTAAAAACGTTGTTTATACTAGAGGTTTTTTTTCAAAGAACAACTTACAATGAAAGTAAGATTTCTCAAAAAAGTAGTTATTAAATAATTCGGTGGGTACTTTAACCATTTTATTTCTATGGTCTTGTGGCTCAAATTAAGAAATTTGGGAACCCTTGCTTTATCATATCAATTCATCGTGCTTAAATAAATGAACATGCCGTGATAAAAAAAAGAAGCTTAATTTGACTGTTATTTACCTGGACATGTAAATATGCTACAGTTACTCAACATGTTAAATTAATAATTTTGTTGTCTTACCTTGACATATAAATGTGTCATAATAAGAAAGAAGGTTGGCTCGCTGGAGGACTCTGTACAACTGCAATTCCGATTCGTTCGTTGGTTGTGACGTCATCGCAACTGCGTGAAAACAAAAATATATAAGAAAGTTCACATTCGATTGTGAAATCATGATCAAACTGAGTAGTTTTTATTTTAACGACACTATAACTATAAAGCATGATGTTATTAAATGTTGACTACAGAACACGCTTGAAGAAGTATTTTTCCAACTCAATTACATTTCAATAGAAACAGCTTCTTACACTAGTCTGTTTTTTATTTTATTTTCGGCATTTATGATCACCATTGTAAATTAATTTCATACTTTAAATTACTCCCTCCCACACACACACAAACAAAACAACAGAAAATTCAAAAATTCCTTTGAAGATTCCAAACACCAATCAGACGTTGGAAGTATTCCACAAGATTTTTACGTTAGAAACCTACGAGGGCCAAATAAAGATTTATGGATCTAGGCAAATATAGTCTAGATGTACACACAGATACATATATATATATATATATAGTTGATCGAGTTTCAGTTGCAATATCAAATATTATCAAAAACCAATAGCCATACAAATGAATAAGTAGACACATCAAAGCTTGATAAGTTAGATATGCCTTATAATATAATCATTGGTGAACATTTTTTATCTATATTATATATATTTTTTCAATGCTAAATTGTTTTTTGTTGTTTAAACCAGATGTCGAACTTATTGTTCGAAGATCCTAAGAATATTGAACTGACTTGAATAATTTTACCGTGAATTTTGTAATAAGCTTGAAATACATTAACAGCAACATCAAAAACTAGTAAACAGGACAAGATTAATATTTTTCATGAAATGCTGTAGCAAAAAATACAATTTAAAAGTACATAGATAGGGCATTTTCCTACTGGGGTTCTAAGGAAATCTCTTCTTTTTTTTTTTTAGAGCTCCTTTTTAAACACCTTATTTGCTCAAACTTCAACAACATTCGAGATATAATGATTTCGTCTTGTCTTTGTTCGTCTAAAGAACGGAATAATTTCAGTGTGACGCACTTCAGCCATTTTACTTTATTCCAAAGTTATGAACGGATGCAGAACCTACGTTAGTTTTTAAATATATAACGATGTTAAAGTTCATTATAATCACGCAAGAGTCACCTCAAAAGTAAGAAAGATGCCCTTCAGATGTTCACCAAATTCTGGGCAACTTTTCAATGTTTAAAATTCATCTGCTTTTCAATAAAATTTCAACGACGTAGTGTGCTTGTTTTTATTTATTTTTTATTTTATTATTCTTACGAGTCTGGAATTTAAGAAAATTCTTCAAAGATAACAAAGTATTCAACCTTATTAAGTTTTAGTTTACAATTTTTATTTTATGCCTCTTCAATCTACTTATCTATCTGCAATAAATCCCAGCTCAAGGAGCAGCCATATTTTAGTAACGTCTTCCTTGTTGATGTATAGTATATGCTTTACAACGAAATGAGGTGGTGCATTTTCCTTTGCGATTTTGGAGTCTTGTGTGATTCACTAGTGACTCGTACAGAAACGTCATAACCAATGAGTTAACGAGAAAGTTGTAACCAATGAGTTAACGAGAAGACAGTCCAGAAACTGAAAAATTCTGAATAGTGTTTTGTCTTTATTCTAACAACGTTCCATATTTCTTTATAAATCAACACAGGCTTATTTTACACTAGTAGCTACGGTCAACCGAGTTTCTGATACTTGATTTTTATGTGAAATTTGAGAGGAATGAAACCTGGTTTTTAATTCAAACCAACAAATTTAGTATAGTTACGTGATAATTGAAAATCTAATCATTCATTTTTCTACTTAATCTGAGATTTTTTTCGAAATATAGTATTTGTTGGAGACCAAACAAATTATTTATCCTTGTAGGCCTTTTTTTTTCTTTTTTGTACGTTACATTATCTTGTTACCTGTAACCGGATCGTTTTTACCTCAATGTCAGACCTGTTTTTTTGTCACGTACATGATTATTTCATGCTTGTGGCCAACGTTTACAGCTTCTGGTGATCTTGTTTTATTATTTTTCCATAACTTGTTTAAGACCATGTAAATGTCTGAACTTTTTGTTTTTCATAACCTGGTGATATTTCTAGACTTCTGATGTTTATTCTGGACTAAAACCTTTTTTATTATTATTACTATAGTCTCCAATATCTCCTCTTTTTTGCTCTCGTAATCTGATGATGATCTATTCGAAGTTCTGTTTGTTATTAAGAGCCAGTGCAAGTTTATATAAACAGGTTGTCTTGCTCAGTTTTTTTAATGACATAGTTAGCTTCTTTAATCGATTTATAATGAAACAGTACAGACATATTTATTACACCTACAGTGAACTGTAGAAACGTTTTGTTTGTTTTTTCGTAATATGGAGATCTATTCCAATAGTTGACATATAACATAGGTTTAAATATTGCCATTTAAAACTTGGCTTAATGGTTACATAACAGTGAAACGATGACCCAGTAGCTATGTTGGAAAATATATCAACGTTGCAGTATATTCTAGCCATTTGCCAGAGATATAACATTTGGCTATACATTTAACTTAACTACGTTATCACTAAATTCGTAGAAGAGATAGAATTTAAAAGAAAGATCGATCAACACCAATTTTCATTTCCGTAATCTCATTTACCATTCCGGGTTTTGGAACTGTTTACCTACAACGAGGTTACATTTTAAATCCGCCATTATGTGCGACATTTTACGAGCATAATTGTTTGAAATATAATTTTCAATACAGAAAAATCAGTAAGAGTATTTCAGATTTTTTATCCATTATGAGATAAAAGTGTTGAATTTACTGTTTGAACAAGGGTGCGTGTGCAGCAATTTATTTCCAATTTTGGAATTTAGTTATTCAGTATTCAAAGTAGAATTTTGTGAAAACGACAATATGTTAGCGTTCTTTAAGTTTTTATGATAATTAAAGAAAGAACTGACTACAAAACACCCATCACATTTAAAATTTTAGTTTTCGTTGTTATTTCAGGTCTGTCAAACATCAAGCATCACCACTAATTACATTTACACTTCTTTAAAACACTTAGCCCTTTTTTAACAACTCAGAAAATAGTTTATTAAATGTACAAGTACTAGATGGCGCTACTTTACGAACCATACACCGATTTGTTATATATTAAATCTGTTAACAATCATGATTATCTAATGTTTACATAACAGACTAAACAATCGTTTAGTAGGTAATACTGTTTTTCCCACTATTGACTAAGTATTTCAAGATACAGTATAATACAATTGATTTATTACGTTTAGGACAAAATTATGTGGTTCACTTTTGATGACGAGGAATCCATTTTTTTAGAAAATAAAAGTTTTGAGACGGCTTGACTGGGTAATGAAGAAAACTTTATTAGAAATGTACGATGTTTCGACAAGATTATGTCATCCTCGGGTACAAGTAGTTTACAGAGATGCATGAATATATATATATATATATATATATGTATATAGTATGGAAAAAACAGGTCACATATATGTGGTTTTCCCTCTCAATCGGTCTGTCATGGCCTGGTGGTTAGGGCGCCCGAATCACAATCTGCGGTTTGCAGGCTCAAATCCTATCGCCCACTTTTAGAAGTGGGGTCATTACAATATATTGGTCAATACCACTATTCATTTGTAACAAGTAGCCCAAGATTGGGCGGTGGGTGGTGTTGAGTAGCTGCTTTCCCTCTAGTCTATTATTTCAAAATTAACGAGAGGCTAGCGCAGTTGTTGTTGTTTGTTATTAAGCACAAAGCTGCATTTGTGATCTGCTCACCACGGGTATCGAAACCCAGTTTCTAGCACTATAAGTCCGCAGACGTACCACTGTGGGGCCGGCTAAAATTGAACAGAACTACTGAATAAGAAAACACTTGGTTTGATCAAGTGTATTTTCGGATTGGTACCACCATCTTCTGACATCATTATGTCCGTTTATTTATCCGGACTTTTAACAATCATACTATCAATATGGACTAATTTGCAAAATGATTCTTGAACTTTTTTCAGTAAAGGTGATTAATTACAAGAGGAACGAGCGTAAACTGGACAATAAATTGATTTGTCTATTGGAGTATTTATTGGTTTTACCTTTACAACTAAATAGTGGTACTTTGTAAAAACAATGTTTCCAGGCTCTTGCTGTCCTTGGAATTAAATTATCTGTCGTCAGTAGTGATTAGTCTAATTGGTCTTGATCACACATTACTGCCAAACACCACAGTTTCTATTCTAACAAGCTTCATCATAATAAACTTATCCCAAATTCTTAAACATACGTGAACGTCAGCTTCAAAGACCAGCTTTAAGCAAACTAAAGACAGACTGTATACTAGAGCTGTATCGGAAGATAATATGTAGTCAAATGGAATTGCTATGATTTTGTTTTTTCTATTGTTTTTCGTGATGTTGTAAGCTATATTTTTTAATATTTTAATTTAGATGTTTGTTTGCTAGAGGGCACATGAGACAAATCTAGAAATTTCTTGCAGAGTATAGAAATAAGTATACGATTTAATATGAGAATTTGTGAAACGGCGAGTTAATGAGAAATCAATGAGCATTCGGAGAGTTTATCTATTCAGTGTCAGATTTAAATCTTTATTCATTATCCTGATAATGGAACCAGGAGATATGCCCAGCTTCATCGCAGTTTTTTGGGGCTGAAAATTAGGTTTGATAAAAACAGTCTTCACTTTGCAAATAAGAACATTATACCAATATCTTTCCTCGAAAAGAGCTATGACATATCCTTCAGAAATAATTCTGTCCATTTTGACATTGCACTGTTGAATGGGGAGGAAGTCCCGATTCAAATGTATACAAGTACTAGACTTATCATCCACGGCTTGTATCTGCACCTTTACACGATTCCATCAGTGCCTCTAAAAAAGTTTGTTGGCTTCTTTCGTTATTCACACCTTTCGAAATTTGAAATTTACTTTTTTGCAATATTTTCAAATAACTGCTTCAACTTTTCAAACACAAAATATGAGATAAATGTTGTATGATTTTCTGTATTTATCTCACGTAGT